GAAGGAAGGAAGGAAGGAAGGAAGGAAGGAAGGAAGGAAGGAAGGAAGGAAGGAAGGAAGGAAGGGGAGGAGGAGAGGGTGAAAGGAGGAGGAAGAGGAAGAAGAGGAGGAGGAGGAGAAGGAGGAGGAGGAGGAGCAAGTCAGGCTGTCTGAACAGACACCTCACCAAGAATATGCAACCGGCCGATGAGAGCCTGCAAAGAGACCCCATGTGCTATGTGAACAGGGGACACGAGTTCAAACAGCAAACTTGCATACTTCAACTACAACGTAGCCCAAACTCAGAGCATCTCCAACTCAAACACCAGAGACAGTGGAGATCACAGAGACCTGCTCACTGTCACTGCGAGCCAGAACAGAGGAGTCACTGGGGAAGACAGTTGGGACTGTTCTTCCACTACTGGCAACCATATGTGTCCACGCTCTCTGGAATTTCCTTGAAGGAACTGAAAATTTATGTCCACCCAAAGTCCCGTGTTGATAGCAGCTTTGTTCATAGCTGCCACAAGTTGGAAGCCACTAAGACGCTCTTAGTGAACGAATGGGTAAAAAAAGTGTAGCGCTCTCAAACAATGGGCTAGGATTCAGTGTTAAAAAGAAATGAGTCATCAAAAGCATAAAAGTCATGGCAGCATTTTAAATTCACGTCGTTGAATGAAGGGAGCCAATAGGAAAAGACTACATTTGCAGACACAAATCATGGTGCATTGGCCCAAAGCTCTGCAAATGTGCCTCAGAGGAAGTGAGTCCTGATGCAAAAACCATGGGCTCCGGGTGAGAATGTGCAAGTAAGATTCACAGATCGTACCCACGGACCCTTCTGGAATTAATGCAGGAGATTGTGCCTAGGTAGAGGCAAAGGAAATTAAGAAAGAAGTCTATATAGATCCTGCAAGTGGTACATATCAGATGGACTGTAAGCCTAAACCTAATCTAATGAGAAGAGCCTGTTTCAATAATTAGCAGAAGGCTTAAGTCGATACTTCCCTCAAGATTCAAAAAGACACCAAGCAAGCTCTATGAGAGATGGCAGACAGTGTTCATCACTAGGAAAATGTAATTCAACACAGCAAAGAGACGTCACCGAACACCTGTCTGGATGGCTAAAGTTATTCAGGAAAAGGATAACACCAAGTGCTGGCAAGGGCTTGGACCAACTGGGACTTCCCTATATTCCTGGTGGAGGTTTAAAATGGCACCCTGGGTGCTGGAAAGATGGCTAAGGTGTAGAGCATTGGCTTCCTGGCAGAGGACCCACAATGGTGGCTCATGACCACCTGTAGCTCCAGGGGAATCCAACGCCCTCTTCTGGCCCCAGAAGGCACTACGGACACATGGTACACAGATATACATTCAGGTACATACCCGTACACATAAGAATAAATCACTAAATGGTATTCAGGAGAAAAGCAGGTGGCATCTTAAGATTCTTACACAGTGAAGCAGACTTTTGCCTTACAGCCCACTATGCAAACATGAAGTGTTTACCCAAACGGAATGTAAACCTAGCTTCCTGTACGCTCTATACGGGAATGTTTATAGCCGCCGAGAACCACCAAACACTGACAACGGCCCAAGTATCTCACCTGAGAAACAGAGAAGCAACAAATTGTGTTACATCTATATATTGGGGTCTTTTTCATCAATGAAAACAAAAGAATCCTAATATTCATGAGAACAAACATCGATGCCAAAGTTATTGAAGACAAGGGCAATGATTCAGACTCAAAAGGCAAGGTTCTCTAGGAAGCCAGCT